TACTGAGACTGGACGAGTAGATCTCGGCAAACTGCCGACTTCAAAAGTAGCTCTTGGTTCAAAAAAGGTTGGACACTCCTGCTTTAGTTTGTTTCTGTTTGGAGAAAAATGACGTGTTGCAACCGTCCCTTGTTGCTACTGTCCCCGGTCCCCTAACTAATGTTAGTTCGTTGTTGCTTGGTAGTTTGCCACAATTATAGTTGAACTTGTGTGGGAAAAAAACAGTTGTTTCAAGCGATTCATGTAAAATTAATTTCATATGTGTGACATGACTCTCCTGGACTGTGAATGAACCAATGAGCATGTCCCAAGAACCAGGGTAAACCAGGATACGAGCACCAAAGTCCCCACTGACATGAAAAAGAACTTTGTTATAAAATGAAACACTAACAGAAGAAGAGGTTGTATAAGAAAATCTCCAGTCTCTACACAAACAAAAATTCAATATATATTTTTATGTAATTAAATTTTTGAATTGTAAATACACAGTAGACATTTAGAGTCTCTGATATTGAAGACTGACTAAGCTATTGTGAAAAACTGAGAAAGTTTTAGATAATACAAAAAAATTCATTGTCCTATTTTCAACACTTTGGAAATTTTTTAAGTGTTCTTGTGTTATCTTGTCTATTTATTTAACAAAATTAAATGATATATTTTTGTCTTAAGGGACAGCTTTGTTTGTGACAGTTTAGTAAATCAAAAACTATGTGGGCTTCCAGCTGTGTGTATAGGAAGGTTAAATGTTCAGCAAAGAAAAATGAACAGTGGGAGGAGTTTCTCTCTTCAGCCTATCCACCCTCCTTTGGAGCTCTGCTCTCAGGACCAGGAGATCCTTCTGAGTTTGATGAACTGGTACCTGAAAAACAGAATCAGGGCATGAGTAACTAAAGATGTTCTTTTTTCATCCAAACCAAGATCCCACACTTAACCAGACAGTTTAATAAGGTGTTTTCTTTTAAATAATATTCCCACTTTTGATTTGCTTAATCTGTCTTTAATGAATGATTACGTACCACAAGGCTTCAAGGTTGCTGTATGTTAACCGTTACTTGAGTACCTAGTTTTGATTCAGGAGTTCTAGACAACTATAGACCCATTCCCATCATCTTTTAAAAAATTGAAAAAATAGATGCAGATCAGACAGTGTCAGACAGTGGACCTGTGTCTACACTTGTACTGTTAGATCTCAGTGCTGCATTTGATGCAATGGTCACAATATTTTTTGACCCCAATTCTAAAAATGTTGGCATGTTATATGAAATGTAAATAAAAATAAAATGCAATGATTTGCATATCTCATTTTATTCACAATAAAATAGTAAATACTGTATATCAAATGTTTAAACAAAATACCCCAATTTTTTTATTTGATGCCAGCAACATGCCTCAATGTATCATTGATTTACAACATATAAACCATGTACAAACTTGATAGTACCGATACCGGTATTATTGTTGAAAAACCATCCATCCATTTTCTTCTGCTTATTCGAGGTTGGATCACGGGGGCAGCAGCCCAAGCAGAGCAATCCTCTGGGTCCCCTCCCAGTGGGACGTGCCCAGAACACCTCACCAGGGAGGCGTCCAGGAGGCATCCTAACCAGTTGCCCGAGCCACCTCAACCGGCTCCTTTCGATTTGGAGGAGCAGTGGCTCTACTCTGAGTCCTGGATGACTGAGTTTCTCACCCTATCTCTAAGTAAGAGCCCAGACACCCTTTGGAGGAAACTCATTTGGCTGCTTGTATCCACAATCTCATTCTTTCGGCCACTACCCAAAGCTTGTGACCATAGATGAGGGTAGGAATGTAGACCGAATGGTAAATCGAGATCATTGCCTTTCGGCTCAACTCTCGCTTCACCATGACAGATCGGTACAATGCTCCCATCACTGCAGATGCAGCACCAATCCACCTGTCGATCTCCCGCTCCATTCTTCCCTCATTCATGAACAAGACCCTGAGATACTTAAACTCCTCCGTTTGGGGCAGGACCTCCTCCCCGACCCAGAGAAGTTACCCTACCCTTTTCCGGCTCAAGACCATGGTCTTGGATTTGGAGGCACTGATCTTCATCCCGGCCACTTCACACTAAGTTGCAAACCGCTCCAGTGAGAGCTGGAGACCAGGATCTGATGAAGCCAATAGGACCACATCATCAGCAAAAAACAGAGATGTGATCCTACGGTCACCAAATAGTTTATGAAAAGAATTGCTGACAAAACCAAACCTTGACAGAGTCCGACTCTCACTGGAAACGAGTCCGACTTACTACCGGCAATGCGGACCAAACTCTGATTCCTACAGGGACCTAACAGTCCATATCACAGGGCTTGGCACACCATACTCCCAGAGTACCCTCGACAGGACTCCCCGAGGGACACGGTTGAATGCCTTCTCCAAGTCCACAAAACACGTAGACTGGTGATGCAAACTCCCATGAACCCTCTAGGACCTCGCTGAGAGTGTAGAGCTCCGGGTTTCCCCTAAATGTAATTGGTGCTCCGCCACAGCAAAATAAAACCCGTCACACCTTCAGAATGATGATTTTATTATGTATATATATATATA